CGAAGAGCAGTTTATTTTTGCATACTATTTCTCCTGCTTTGAAAGTAAAATTTATTATATATCGATCTGGAGTCCTGTATCGTTTAAATTAACGAAAAGACGGAAAGAGAGAAGTCAATCTTTTATTGAACAAAGTTCTTGAGTAAATTTATGCTAAGATCTTAAAAATATTTTTTCATCATGTAAACATGATGGTGAATACTATAATCATGTTTTAGATTCTGTTCTCTAAATTTTAATAACACTAAATATATCAAAGACATCACAAATTTACCTGTGTTTTTTGGTGTTCAAAAGCCATAAGTTTTTTATGTAATATAAATATGACACTAAATCATTACAATATTTAAAAAGTACTAAAGCATCTATTTCACAATCAGGATGTTTATTTATTTATTTTAACAGCAATCTGTCAATTTACTAAGTACACAACTTGCTAGTATGGTTTGCAGACAAATATAACTAGGATTATAATGCATAGGCCTAAGATTACATTCTAAATATCCCCTAATTTATTGAATGTAATAAATCAAAGTTTTTATACTTACAGATTAATTACAAGTTAAAAATTAAGGATAATAATTAAGGAGTAAGCTTAAAATAAAATATTATTCAACGGTAAAACGCTGTGTCGATATACACAAAACAAATTAAAATTGAAGAAGCCCCTAAATTATAAAACTTTATAAAATAATCATAAAATCACTAAAACTTTGAAAACTGTTTTTTGTTAAGGATCTTCGAACTATGATGCTTACTATAGACCAAAAACACAATACTATATTTAACCTGAAACTTTAATTTGAATTTGTTTTGTTTTGTATTTTTTTTTAGTTATAATGGTAATCGTAGTAATTAATCGTAGTATATATTACCTAAGCAATTTAGTTACGATATAATTAACGTGTGCTCAAAGGCTAGTAATACGTTTACTGATTCAGTATTTAGAACTATCTAATTACAATGCATTTATTGCTGAACTGGTTAAGTGGCCAAACCATTAATCAGTTCTGTGATAATATGCAATGTTATGACAACGCGTTAAAATAATGCTTTTAAAGCGTGGAAATGGAATGTCAATGTTTGTGGGTCATTATTACCTTTGCCACTAATAACTAACTTAATATCAAAATACTTTGGCATCAGCAAACTGGCAGACAAAGCCAATTTTAATTTATCTAATTGAATTAAACTAAAATATTTCCATAAACAAGTAATTTTATTTGCATTCGATTGAATGAAAACTTAGGTTTGCTGCTTCAGGAAGGAGAAAAGTGTGTTTATTTGTCAATGATAATATTATGTGATGGAATTTAATAAACTAGCCCAATTTGAAAAAAATATATACCCACAAGCTAGCAAACTATAACTAGTTTTCTTTTTCTTAAGAATAACACAAACAATTTTAATATCCGGCTTTTTTGTAATCTCTTTGGCAATCTTTAATCGTACAAAAATGCTTCAATGTTCAAAACTTTTTGTTGTTAAGCTCTGCTCATTGGCTGTATTTCAAATAGGCCATTACATGTTTTAAGGTAAAAGTAGAAACAAAAACTCCATACAACCCGTTTAAATTTCCCGTTCTTGCTGGTTTGCAAACAGATTAAAGTATATCTAGCCCTATAACTCGTACGGAATTTCGAATAGTTGTTCCAAAATCACCCAATTTATGTAAAAATATATAAACAATAAAACTTGTGTCGTAGTTTTGGTCCCTGGTGACATAAAAATAACTAAACTAAATTGTCGTTGGGTCTAGGCCTAATGTAGCCTCTACAGTACTAGCGTCTTCTCTATGAGGACATTCCTTAACATTTTATGTATATTTTTTATTTGATACAGAGTTTTAGAAAGGTTCGTTTTACTTTGTATTTATGTATAAATTGTTTATACAGGATATCTGTTCATACAATTTATGTTAGTTTTAAAAATTTACAAATATTTGAAAATATTAATACTTTCAAATGAAAAGAAAGAAAGATCAAACATAAATTCAAACCAAACTTGGTATAAACTAAATACCTCACCTTTAATTTGAAAACATATCATTCATAATATTTTAACTAAAAACCCCCCTATATTCAGATTATAATTAAATTTTATGCAGCATAGAAAAATACCAATGATTTAAACATGGATAAAGCGAAAGAAATAAGGAAACAGAGCAAATTGCCACAATGTTAACACGGAGTTTGGAAGTAACACTCCAGAGCAAGTCGCGCTGAACATTGCCGAGCCTCAGTTATTGTCACCAACAAAGATGTCATTATTCTTTTCACGTCGCCTACAGCCATTTTCAATTTTCTGTTTGCCTTTTTGTTCCTCATAATTTTAACTCCGGTTTCTATTTTATAAAAATCTTTTCCGTTTTAAGTCTTTTTCTCACTTAGAAACAGGCAAATTATAAACGTCATGTATTGTTTGTAGCATCAATAAAACGAAAAGACGACTAGGTATCATAAAAATGCGAAACCCTTTAGTAAGTGAATTTTCGAGGAAAATTATGTTTATAAATTCACTTTACTATTACAATTGAGATTAATCTTGAGAAGAATATTATCCAAGAATATATTCCAGTTGTGTTTTGATAACCTTTTTGATTGTTTAAGTTTTTTACTTAAATGATAATTCTAAACACAAACAAATGCTTTGTAAATTAAAACATTCAACATAAGAACCATTTTGTAAATATGATCCTAATATTTTCTTAGACTATTAATACTAATTTTGTTAAAAAAAATCATAATTGTACAGGATTACGCCAATTCCCCTTTCCATTAACATTATCCAAAGCAATAGTTTATAAATAAACGTACTAGGGACTTTACTTATCTAATGCACTTTTAGCAACATCAAATTACTTTAATTTTCTCATTTACGTATAATTTTCTAAAAAAAAAAAATTGTGATTCAATATTGGGAATGCTGTTGCGTATCGTAAGATTCTTTTGTGGTTTTGAAGACGGTTGCTACGGTTATTTTACGAGGTAAAAGTATTATTTTTTAGACGAGAGCGAGATTGGCTTAACATTACTTTTTACATCACCAAAAAGTTACCAAGTTATCAAGTTACCAAAAACCTAAGCATATAAAGACATAATACCAAAATACTAAAAACTAAAACTTATGCAACGTACCAGAGTTCTTTTCATGTAAAAACTACACAGCTTCAGTTTCATAAAGATAACAATAAACAATTCATTAATAACGAATGCTGTAATTTAGAGTAGCTTTTAGGTAATACGATTCGTTTAATACAAAGCCATGATATTTATGGTCAACGTAGAGGTAATCATTTTACCGTTCAGCCAAGTCTGATTAATTTTCAGCTTTGTAACGATGCATTGATTTGCGGTGCAATTTGTAACTATAGAGCCCTTTCCAAGTATGATTTTACTGTTATATTGGTTGGATGTTTAACAAGAATCGCATTTTCCGTATTTATTTGTATTGGCGATTCTTTCATCCATGCTTTTTAATATATGCATATAAATCGATTTGGTTTGTCAACTTTTGAATAATTACTTTGTACATTTATAATATACTTTATACAATGCTCACCATTAAACTAATTGTTTAGAAGGAAACTAAACAGCTTTATATAAATTAAATTTACCATTAAGGTTTGTATTATCCAGAGCGTTCGTGTTAACAGAATGTAGATTACTTCTAGTATAAAATCAGCTGAGTCAATTAATAAAGTTAAATACTACATTTTAATTTAATGTTTAAAATACATTTTAAAAGATACCAAAAAATGATTGCAAAATAACACACAATGGTTTCTAAAATAATAAATTTTATTTTTTTCAACCACGTAAACAAAACAACAAATTATCTTTGTTGATTTAGCTGGTTATCGTTTGTTGCAAAAATTAAAGGGTATTTTAATTTTACAATTGCATAATGTTTTCCTATGCTTGTTTTTGGAAGATCTGTTTACTAGTATTTCTCTTATTTTTATTAACTACAAAATCATAATTTCAAAAATTAACCGATTTAATCTGTCACTGTTTTATATTTCATTGTGATTTATCTTTACTATATGAATTGAAATCTCATTACATTTGATTCAGTTGAATGAAACTAAGAGAATAACGAATTCTTTTTGAGAAAAATTTGTAGAACAGCAAATAAAACTAACAAAACGCTCATGATCAGAAAATCCGAGCTTCCAGATTCACTACAGGATACACACCATAAATATTTCAGATCCGATACGGCCCAATAAAACACGAAGGGCCGTGATAGAATGAAGATGAGATTGCAAATATCCATCTGCGATATTACTCCAGAACTCGATTCTTGACAATATTGCCCTCGCGTACCCATCAATTTTGTGACGTCTCTGGCGGGTTTCCAATCGGAAGCGACGCGCTACGTTAGTGTTAGCGGGCAGGTGACAAGTGTGGTGGGGGTGCTGCGAGGGGTTAGGGTCGAGTAGTCCTTGCGCAGGTCCACCGGCCAGTACACTCTGTGTCGTTCAGTTCTCTAATCAGTGCTGTTCAACACACTGTGTCGAGCGGGTGTTTTCACAGTTTTGGCGGGTGTTTCGAGTCTTTGGATACTAGGTTTTAAACGTGTCGTGTGGTTCTGAACCTTAATGACGACAAGTGTTACCGTATAGTGGATTAGGGATGAATGTAACAAAATGCAGTATGGCTAATTAAGTGGAGTGTATGCGTTCAATGGTAGCACCGTTTTTTGGATGAATATTGATTTCACAAACAGAAATGAAAATATTTTAATTTTTAAAAGGAATAATGTTTTACAACTGTCCAGTTTGAGAGAAATTACCTTAAATAAATTTCATAAATTTCCCTGTAAACTTACACATGTATAAGCGTACAAAAACATAAATGTTAACCTTTATCACAAACTACATAATTATATGAAATCATTCGTTTTATGTCAAAATCACAATTTATTAAAATAATTAACATTAAAATAACGAGTGTCTACATAGTTTACATATAATCACAAAACTCCTCCAATAGAAATTGGAATACACCAAGTGCTTCCATTGAAATTTACAACAATCCAAGAGACTGTCAACTGTTTTGTGTCACAAGGTACAAAAGTTGAAAAGAAACACGTGTCTCGACTTTGTTGACGTACCGGAAGTAATATCACACCGGATGTAACCCAGCATGTAACTCCCACCCCCCGCAGACCATGGCCACCGCATACATCACTTTTTTGTCCCTGAGTTGCCTTCTTTCAGGGACACTTCTGGCAAGAATCCACAGAAAAGGTAATTTTTCCTCTCGAGTATGAATAATGCCGTCGTTTATCATGTTTTATGAATAGCGTCGTCTTCAGCACCTTATATATGAGCCAGTCTTGGGACGTTTCCGAATAATTTTGAGTGCTAGATTTATTACACCCACCAACACCAATAGGTTGAGTTGGGGCTTGTTTGTAATGTAAAAACATACAAACAAAAAAACAGCATCGTTAATAATAATACATATAACTTATTACCTTGTAAAAGTATGAGATTTCAAAGTCCTTTTACGTAATGTTTGTTACAATGAATCGGTTTATATACTTTTTTGGTGTAGGCTATTATTTACTAACAATATATGTTATAACTCAAGATCAGTCATTGTACAAAAGCAAAATCTGAAATGTTGTGTAAGCCTATAAACTGACCATCCAATAAAAGGATTCCTTTATATCGTATAAAGAGTGCTCAAAAGACAACAACTTCCCCTTTGAACTGTTCCTTTGATAGTGTTGTTTCGCAGTATGATTCTGTTGGAGTATCTCGTTTATAGCTTAGTCAAACTGTGTTCACTTAAGTCCCTACTAATAATAAATATAAGAACTAGTTCCGTAAGACAACAAAATTTGAAACGTGATTTACAGAAGCATTATTATACTTTATGTATTTTCACAAAATAAAGCATTTGATAAAAAGATTGTAACTAAACAGTAACAGTAATATGTGTATGATCTCATGCTTACGCAATGATTGACTCAAGATTGATCAAATTCAAATAATCTTTGTATAATAATATAAAAGTGTGGATGTTACACCAGTAGAACTTCAGGAAAAGTATTTATTAAAACATAACGATCTTTATTGAATTAGTAGCTTTGTTTGACTCAACAAAACAAACAACTGCACTCACACACACTTACTACACTTGTTTTTGTTGGAGTTCATTGATCCAATAATCAATAGTAGACAGGCTACTTTTTGCTATAATACCTTCTATATACAACTCTGTCTTACCTTTGTTGTTTGGATTAAATTTAATTAATGTAAATCTCATTAAATATTTTGCAGTAGTTTAGTTTTAGTTGCATATTTTAATATGATTAGGAACATACAGTGCTTCTTTTAATTACAAAATATTGAATAGAAGTTCTCAAAAAGTGCAATTAGTGTTTTGTAATTAGTTGATCAGACTTAATTAATTAGTTCCGCTATAAAGTTGTTCAATACACGTGAATGGAAATTGCAATGGCTAGTTGTTTGTAGTGCAGACCAGTTACCAATTATATTGTTCTAATTAAACTACCAGACATGATTTCAGTAAAGCAATTTGTTCATATATTATTCCTGATTACACTAGGTGAAATTGTTTTATTCAATACTGATTGGTTTAGTTAAGATAAAGGTTTGTTAGCATGATTTAATATTTTAATTTGCTCATAGATTGTAATATTGCTCATTTTAATATTTGCATTAATCAAATGCAATCACGTAATGTAGCTTAGAAAATATTGACTTATTGATTATACAACGTTGAACATTACCACTATAATCCTTTTAATTTTAAAGTAGTTAAATAAACATGATGTTTAAATCTTGTGCGATCAATACTAGCGGAAAGTTTCCAGATTAAGACAGAAATGAGTTTTAGTTCTTAAAGAAAGAAAGCCTTCACTAAAGGTTTCTCAAGACTAATCTTACTGTGTTAGTCTGTTCATTGATTAATGTGTTATTAGTAAATATTAAACACTCATATTGATACAAAGGTCAAATGTTACGTTTAACACTTAGTTATCTTATTTTTAATTTAAGGTACAAATAAAACGTAATTAAATTTTATTTAACATATGCGTTAGTAAAAAAAAGAAAAAAACACATTAAGGGAATAAATGTGTCGTAGAAACGAGTTTTGTGGAAATAAAAATAACAATAAAACAACATAACACAAAGGACTCAGCGTGCAATAACAGGTTACGAAGAAAAATAACAGGTTGCAACGTGACCGGTGGAAGTGACAGGTTTGGGTTGTGCAACAACAGAAAACCCTCAAGCAACGAGTGTATGGACAACAATACAAACCTTATGGTTGTGACAGTTCTATTCTTTAACTGGAATAACGGAACAGTTTTATCTAAACAATATAGCTTGGTTTTACTAGAACCACACTCATAAACCATGTTAGTATACTTTAAGATAGTTAACCTAAAAGAGTGTTATGAATATTACTACGATTGCATTTTTTAAATTAACAAATTTATGATTTTTTTAGTACGAATATACAGTTCTAGGCGACTCTTTAGAGATGGATTGAATTTAAATATCAATAGTTTTGTATTCCTTTTGCAGCTAAAAGTAGCACTCTTACTTACATTTTATTAAAATAAACATTAAATAGAAAATATTTTGTATACAAAACTCATTCGATTCAATACCCTTGTTCAATTCATGAACATTAAAAATAGGTACACTTTAAAGACAGGTCAATTATCTATAGAGAAAAAAAAACTGTAGCGTTCTTTCCAATTTGCAGGCATTTATTCCTACGCTAATCACGATTCAATAACCAATGTCTCTAACATCAAACCTAAGTTCATAATAACTGTCAAAGTTAATTTTAATTTGTTTTATTCCGTTTTTTCAAAACCTCTTCAACTTCATAACTACAGAACCATTCGCCGGAAAGGAAAGTTTTTGCATTTCCAACTTTGTTTCGCAACTCCCAAAGAGCTCAGATAATGTTTCCTCCCTTGAACACTTCTTGGTCAACTTTCTTACTTCATTTCAAGACTCTTGTATACAATATTGTGTTTAATTTATTCACTCACTTTGGAATTCCTCTGAAAAATCTAATGTTTTCATTATTTTTGATTTGATTATAATTAAAGTTACATATGTACTTTACTTTCGTCAGTGTATTTTTTTAGGAAAGTAATCTAATTTCTAGAACTATCCAAACATTAAATTAATACCTCTTTTTAAATTTCATTATTTTTAATATTTTATAACACATTATAAATTATATATAATTGTTTGATTACAGGGTTGATTACTTTTTGTATTTTATTCGTAAATATTTGAAAACAAGTAACCTTTCCGTTATACGTTTGCCATCACGTATTATCGAGATTTAAAATTCATTGCTATTTAAAAATTCCTGTTAGTTATTTTAGTTTTGGCTAGGTAATCTGAATTTCTTCCTCGATTGGGTATTGTTACATTTAACTTATATACTTACTAATACTTTACTTACTTTACTTACTACTACTTTACTACTACTACTTTACTACTTTACTACTACTTTATTACTTTACTTTACTTATATTTAACTTTTTTGTTATTCATGTGGCAGCAAATATCCGAGACCTTTATCTACAGTAACCGATAATTCTATTTGGGGGAAAAAAATATTGAAAAATGATCGTAAAATGATAAACAAAACTTATCAACTGCATTGATTATTTTTCTTGTGCATACTACTAATATGTTAATATGTACTAGTGATACGTGAATTAATAAATACATATTTATTGAAACAACATACCCCTTGTTCGGTTTGTTTTGTGTATAGAGCGAATAATATCATAGAGCTTGGTTTTATTGCTGACTCATACTAGTTGGCTGTAATATAGCGTACGTTAAAATAGTGCTGTATTTTTTGTTGGTTAGTGTAGTTGAACTTGTTTGGTCAACAACACAATTCATTTTATCTTTAAAACCAAGTTAATAGTTTACACCCAATAACAAATAAATTATTTTAGATTTAAATGCAAGATTTATGATAGCCCATATAATAATAATGAAGAATGTCAAGGTTAAGTTTTAAATTTAGTTAACTATTTACTAAAAAAGTAGTAAGAATGTAGTAACAATATAGTTAAAAATATAATTCAATGTAGTTAACAATACTCAATTGTTAACTAGTTTGTATTTTACTCCTAGGCTAAATGTAAAAAAATATTACTAGGCCTATAACTTAAATTACCTGCATACGTATTCAAAATGAGCAACTAGGCCTTAAACTCTTAATACGTTATTGTGTATAATTTCAAACTAATTCATATATTAGCGAAAACAAACTTAAAAAGCCTATTCATGGTTTACCAATTAATCATGTATTTTGGATTGTGTAGATTGAGATTTAATATGCATTGTTGGTTCATAAATAGTAAAGCTCATGACATCACAGCAGATAAATAATCTACAGGGTGAATAAAAAGTCAAGACCCCCCCATCTAATATTTTTCAAAGTAAATATACAGAGATATCCTTTTGGGGGTCATACAATCTTAGCGACAAGTTTCTTTTTATGTTTTTAAAATTTTTGAGTGTCCCCCCAAAAGGGGAATTAGGGGGCAACTAAAAACTTTTCAATGTAAAACCCCATCAAGTGACACCTCATTTTGAAGTGTTTACAAAAACTTAAAGAATGGTGAAAACCAGAGTTTGCTATCTCTTCTCTATCCAAAATGGTAGCCAATATTACAATTACGAACCAATTTTACCATTGATTTTCCACAACATTTGACGGGCTACCATTTTGGACAGAAAAGAGATAGCAGCCTCTAGTTTTCACCATTATTTAAGTTTGTGTAAAAACTTTAAAATGAGGTGTCACTTGAAGGGGGTTTACATTTAAAATATTTGAGTTACCCCCCAAATCCCCCCTTTTGGGGGGACACTCAAAAATTGCAAAATCATAAAAAGAAACTTGTCGCTAAGATTGCATGACCCCCAAAAGGATATCTCTGTATATTTACTTGGAAAAATATTAGATGGGGGGGGGGTCTTGACTTTTTATTCACCCTGTATTACTACAATAAAAGATGTGAAAATATAAATGAGGTTTTATACAGGAATACGATAAAGAAATCCTCTTTACAAGAGAAAGACATGTTTTTCAAGCGTTGAATATAGTTAATGTTACAATAAATAGTGTATCCTTTTTTTACATATTTTTTCTATACAATATTGATATAAATAACTGTCAAATCTTTAATAATTGTATTACTATTATTTTTTTTTTATTCGCT